CGTGCGAAAGCTTCTCCCAGACTAATGAATGCTAGATATACATCGACAAATTTACAAAAATACATACACAAGTGGGTTGGAGAGTGACCAGAGCGTCAACAATTAGAGGTTAACCGTCACACAAATTCACCTATTGGAGTCTTCTCATAACCAGATACATGTTTTTCCATGTTCATGTCCATTCAAGCCCAGAACGAATTACTTGTCAGTTGACTATGGACTTTTCCATCGAATCATCAAAGCCATCTAAATAGGCTTCGAATCTGTTACACTAACGCCCAAAGCTTACTCAATAAGCGGTCGGAACTAGGTGTACAGATTGAATATATAAAGCCAGATGTAATCTCAGTCACAGAAACTTGACTGGCACAGGCTATAAATAGTATGAAACTTGATTTCCAGGGTTTTACATTAGTAAGGGCCGACAGAATACAAAAGCTTAAGGGAGGGGGAGTAGCTCTATTCATTAGGAATGCTATCCCATTTGACATTATCGACAGTGTATCCCATGAGAGTGGGACGTGTGAATTAGTTAGTCTTCGCCTAAAATGCAAGGGACAAGAGCTGCTGGTTGGTTTGGTCTATCGCAGTCCAAGCTGTAAGGTAAGTGAGATCCTGCTAAGCAGTCTCAATACTTGGTCACAAAGTGGTCGGTGTTTAATCCTAGGGGACTATAATGCACCTATGGTAGACTGGAAAAATCTGCGAACTGAATCTTCCGAAAATTCCTTTGAGCAGGAACCAGTTGATGCGGCTATCACATGTGCCCTAGTGCAACATGGGAAAGAAACGACTAGGTACGACCCGGACACTGAATCATCCTTACTAGATCTTATACTGACTCATTATGAGGATGATGTTGCGAACCTCCATTATATGCCACCCCTAGGTAAAAGTGATCACGCAGTTTTAATTGTCGACTTCCATATAACTGTCAGCCACGAGCACGCAACAGTTCAATCCAGACCTAACGTCTGGAAAGCAAACATACAAGATATCATGCACTCAGCATCGTTAGTAGATTGGAAAATAGACTCAGAGTCCTGAGTTGAAACGGCCTGGGACGCATTTCGAAATTCATCCTTAAAAGTTACCGCACCCCACATCACTTGAACTATACAAAGGAGGCCGATAATATCCCCACCATGGTTCAGTAGGGGGGTTCACATCCTCCTCCATAAGAGAAGAAAAATGTGTGATAGACTTATGTTACTGAGCACTGATGACAATATCTGAGTACCGAAATGCTTGAAATGCTTGTGCCTCTTCCTTCCATAAGCCTAGAAGGTTGTACCAAGAGAAAATTGTTAGGGAATCCATAGAATTCCCTAAACGCTTGTATTCCTATATAAACCAAAGGACAAAAAGAAGAGGAAACATTCCAGCGTTATTAGGAGAGAGTACTGCTTCATCATTAATGGAGGACGACTTTGGTAAGGCTCAAGTATTCTCAAACTGCTTTAGCAATATATATACATTGATAGCCTATCAAATACATCTTCGAACCTCCTCGCTTCTGTCCTTTGATTTCACTTGGTGAGTACGATTCATATTAGGTGTTACTGGTTAAAGCGTTTTCAAACTCCGAATACCTGTGGTATCTTCATTGGTGAGCCCAACGTGATCTGGTACACCAAACCGAAAACTGTGAGTCTGCTCCCTTTTGGAACTCTGTATAGTATTGCCTTATATTAATGCTTTATATATTGTGATATTTTTTACCGTGTTTTTGATATGTATTTTTTTACTCGTTCATTCTCGTACTTGATATTGCACCATGACGGAACAGACACACAAGGTACTTAAGCTAAAGACTATTTCTCCATCTTCGCTTCAACTGATGCCCTTGTAGCCACACGACAATGGCCCGCGCCTTCGTCGAACGATGGGTAGCGAACTTCGGCTGCCCTTCAACCATCACTATAGATCGCGAACCCCAGTTCAAATCCGGACTTTTCCGTTGTCTGCCTGCACCACTAGGAATCATTCTCTTCTGAACAACTGCCTACCACCCACAAGCAAATGGGTTGGTAGAACGCTTTCACCGACAACTAAAAGCTTCACTATCGGTTGCAAACATTTCTCAGTAGATCGACGCTCTTCCACTCGTCTTACTAGGTATTCGCAATGTAGTGAAAGCTGACATTGAATACACTGCGGCTTAACTGGTTTGTGGAACGACACTTCGACTTCCAGGAGAATTCGTAGATCCCTCATCTTCTTCAATGAACATGGATCTAACCTCCTACACGAACAGGCTTACAAACGCAATGCGTTCAGTTAAACCTGTTTGCACTCGACCGCAACCAACTGATGTTTTCGTTAAACCTGACTTACGATATAGTACACATGTTTTCATTCGTCGGGACTCACATCGACGACCTTTCGAATCAGCATACGAAGGACCCTTCAGAGTTCTTCAACGCAAACCTCAGTACTACATAATCGATAAGAACGGAACCAGCGATAGCATCAGCATCGATTGCCTCAAAGCAGCATATTTAGAAGGGAATCCTATCCACGTCGATTTTCCTTCCGTACAACCGAACGACACGACTCCTACACTTATAATACCTCATCCGACAGCCAACACGCACGATGATAAATAAAAATAATATATTTGTAATATCCCAATGAGTAGAAAATTGGGTTTTCTGACGTTTCGTGACTTTGTGTAAGTCACTTCTTCAGAGAATAGTACAACGCACGATCATACTTATGCAGTATCTGAAAATAAACTTAAAACAACGTGTTCTGGAAGAAGAGTAAGATTTTCAGAACATATAAACGGCTATTGAACGTAAGACACCAGTTAACATTTTGCTTCATCTCGATTTTCCATTGCATTATATATAATATTAAAGAAATAAATTTTTGCTAATATGTGTATTAAAAAGTTTTAAAAAAACAAAAAGTACATTTCGTAAAAATCGCTTTTTTGCTATCACATGTACATGAGTTTATTTTCTTTTTTCGCCCACTTTGTGTCTTAAAGCGCGTACGAGTTTATTTCGGCATGCACTTATATATTCTTTTTTCCTTTTCCCGGACAGCTGGAAAAGACGATAAAATGAACGACGAGTTTTACGAGGAACCATAATTGTCATTATACATTATTTTTTCTACTATATTGTAATTCATGGGCCCGTATTGTATGGAAGGACGACCAAACGCTGCTAAACCTAGCAAACTATCAAAAGAGTGTTTGCCAACGACAAACTCGTTGGGTTTAACTTCTGCCTGGCTACGTCTTAGAGTCATTACTATCCCATTAGGGGGAGTGATCTGTAGCGGTAAATAAGTCTACAAAATAAATAGCTCTGTAAGTGTTCGACATTGGATGCTGACCACACTAGTTTTAATGAACTCGCCTGGCTGAAGGCGCTCGGTCATGCATCCCCACCAGATCACGAGTGTGAACGCCGTGCTCAACAACCCTTGCAATCGATAGCCAAATTAGATCAGGAGATCCTCGTTCTATTGATAGCCTATCAAATATATCTTCGAACCTCCTCGCTTCTGTATTTTGATTTCTCTTGGTGGGTACGCTTCATATAGAAGGTGTTACTGTTTAAAAAGTTGTCAAACTCCGAACACCTGTGTCGTCTTCAATGCTTTAATCTATTCATAACATAGGGTCGTTTACCAAAAAACTGAAAAAACGGCATAGTAAGTTCTGTCTTCAAAACAGGTACGAAACACAAACCCGAGAATTACCGCCCCGTTAGCCTAACTAGTGTGGTTGTTAAAATCTTATAAAAGATTATTCGGAAGGAGCTGTTTAAGTATCTCGATGAAAACCGGATCCTTTCGGAGAAGCAGCACGGTTTCTTGTCTCACCAACTTATTAGTGGCTCGTGAAATCTGGTGCACTCTTAAGGACCAAAAGCTACCTGTAGACGTAGCCTTCATTGATTTCAGTAAAGCTTTGACAAAGTTCCGCACAACCGGCCGTTATATAAGTTAAGAAATATCGGTATTGGAGGCAATCTATTTATGTGGATAAAAGACTTCCTAGTTGGGAGTCAACAAAGAGTACGAGTGAACTCAAAGTTGTCTAGCTGGAGAACTGTGCTCAGTGGAGTGCCCCAGGGTACAGTTTTGGAGCCAGTGCTATTCCTCTTGTATGTAAATGACCGTCCTCATCTCCTATCATCATCGGTCTTGCTATATGCTGACGATGTCCAGATATGGAAAACGATACGATGTAAGGGTGGTAGCTCGGAACTTCAAAATGACATGGAGAAGTTATCTGAATGGTCTCAAGCCTGTCGGTTGCTAATAAGTACTTCCAAGTGTGTTGTGATGCATATCGGTCATTAAGGTACAGATACATACACGATGAATAATACTGAGCTACCTGTTGTCCAGACATACAGCAACTTAGGAGTCATCGTTAGCCAAGGCTTAAAGACTAATGCACCCTGTCATGCAATAACCACCAAAGGTTTTAAAACCTTATAGTCAATACGTAGGGCTTTTAGTCATGTTGACGCTTAGACGTTTTTGACTTTGTTTACAGTGTTCGTACTTCCGAAACTTGAGTACTGCATACAGGTGGCTAGACCCTGCTTAAAGAAGGACAGTGAGCTTTTGGAAAAGGATCAGAGAGCAGCAACTAAGCTGATTCCTGGAATAGCGAAGCTTTCGTATGATGCTCGACTGGCCAAGCTAAACCTATTCCCGTTGTCATATCGCAGAACTAGATACTACTTGATTACAATTTTAAAATTACTTAGTGCCAAATTCGCACCTGATATGCCCTCATTTTCCTTGTCTTCCAAAACAGAGAATTTAAGAGGACAATCCAAAAATGTTCACAAGTCCGGGACAAATTACTTGTCAGCTGACTATCGACTTTCCCATCGAATCATCAACGAGTGGAATTCACTACCTCAGCACGTGGTTGAGGCTCCATTCGTCGACTATTTCAAATAAAAAATTGGATCAACTGAGAGACCACCATTGCCAGGACTAACATAGGCCATCGAGCCTCCTGTCCTTCTCAAACTGAAACTGAAACTGAATACTTGGCACATGCAGTACTAAGAAATTGTGTCCACACTTTCAATTGACACTTTCGAGAGAAGACTAGACAATCACATAAGCATACTAGAAAAGGTATAACATAAGCTGTAGGCCTTCTGTCCTTACTATACAAATCTGAATCTGAATCAAGCCTCCTGTCCTTCTCAAACTGAAACTAATATATACCCGGGGAAATTGAGTTTGGCGCGCAGGCATGTCAGCAGAGTATCATAATGTCGAGCTTCGTATGTTTGATGAGGCCCAGTTCACTTGTCGAACGCTCGGAACTGGGTTGACAGTTGGATTGAGAAACTCTAAAGTGATTTCTGTTCGGTAAGTGCATTGGAGTGTTTACACTGCCATAAAAGTAGGGATAATGAGACCGTTAGGGAAATCCATATTTCCTCTCTGGCTAATATATATCGTTTCTCACAAAAAACAGTAGCTGTCTGTACGAAAAAATGCGTCGGGGATGCGGTCTTCACTACTTATTTGTTGGGGTTCGATTCTCCAGGGGATGTCCGTAGCTTTTTAGTAAGTGCTATATGTTTTGTAAGTAAATTGCACAGAATTCTTCCGGTCTACTAAAACCGCTATGTGAAGAGAACAAGAAGGAGACCCGCACTTCCATTTTCGATAAGCGTACTGACTCTTGGTCTGCAGTACAATATTTCCAGTTTTACAGTTACATCAGTCAGCAACAAAATATGATGCAGGTATGTTTTCAGAAATTCTTCAAAATTTCCGATAAGTTATTCCCTTTTGAGTGTGGCACCACTTACCTTTATTCTTTACCTGGATTATGAACTTAAACATGCTTTAGTACAGTTAACGTTGTAATCAGTACTAGTCTCAAAAGAAAATGTAGAGAAATTAAAAGGTCTCGGTAACTGCTTATCAGTCTCGTTTAATAATAATAAAGTGGCCAATGAAATGCAATTTGCGTCAAGCAGTTTGTGGTGTCTATCGATGCTTTCAATGTATCCTATTGCTGTCATCTTTTCATGAGTTTCATTGTACTTAACCCATCACTTCAAACCCTAAATCTTCACACACTTCTATGTAAGCAAACATGTGGTTTGTTTGGCCTTCAAAGTGTACAGAAAATGAAAGTGTACTCGGAAGGCTTTGACTGGTATACTGGTTAAGGGCATTGATAGCGTGTCAGGAGTGTACCTTCATGGGCAAATTATCGCATGAAAATTGCAAGTATAATCGTATCTGCGCGAATGCATTCTTTTTTAATCTTCTATATTCATCACATTCTTTTGTTTTCCGTTCCCAACGTGCATTCTTAATATCTACTTCGCTAATTCCTCCCAATTCAAATTCAGTAATGTAAACTTGTTCACTGCTGCAACATTCTGCTTAGACGTGTTCACTGTAAACTAACCTACAATCTAAGGTCTTTTTTCCTTATAACTACATTTTTGACGCTGCCTTAGAACATGAACTCAGATTATCCTCATTGACGTTCATACACATCTCTAGAACTTAGCTACACGATCATTTAATTAATGTCATGTGTAATAAACGTACCTGTTTGTATTGTAATGTAACCACTAGTTCATATGTTGTTACCTTAATTATTTGTGACCTTTGACTTATCAGCTTAAGGCGTTTTGAATGCAGATAATGATGCGTAAATACTCCATTATTGATTTTTTAACATTATCACTCACATGTATTTCGCTTGTTGCTCGAAAACGAAATCAACATCTTAATACCCATCTAACAATAGCTTTCAAACTTAATAAATATAACCACCCGTCCCGTTTCTAGGCACTAAACATTTCACGGTTTCATTTACAAACATGTAACCAATTCACTCTTACTTGCATTTTATGAGTTTGACACTTGCATAACTTGTGGATTGTTCATAAAGCTACAATGGGTTTCTGGACATTATTCCGACTTATTTTGATTTCCTGTAATGGTTCACTAGTGTACACTTTGTTTACTTCTATTTGATTTATATTTCTTAGGACTACATTCGCACTTCAACCTACCAAAGAGCTATTCTCGCAAATGCTTCCGCTGACTTTCGCGGAAAAGTGGTATTAGATGTTGGAGCTGGCTCAGGAATTTTGAGCTTCTTCGCAATCCAAGCTGGTGCAACAAGGGTTTATGCTGTTGAAGCATCTAATATGGCTACTCATTGTAATAGTCTAGTTCAAGCAAATAAATTGGCGGGACGCATTGTTGTCATCAGGTTAGTAAGTGTTTATGATTATTTATCTAATGTTTTAAAATCTCATCCAAGCCAATATATTACACCACGAAGTTTCCGACTAGATAGTCGATTTAAGCAAAAGCGCAAATTGTAAACAACTATTTTAATGATTTTAACGAAGTATTGGGGAATTAAGTACATTTTTAAAGTTGTCCAAAATAGGTACCTCATCAATGCCTTGTATTAGACTTATCAACTTACATGTGCGTATTTATTGCTTGTGCAACATTTGGATATCGATATCCGGTATTGATATTATCATGATAACTACATACGTAATTCAAGCTGAATTGCATCATTCATTGAATTCCAGTAATCTTCAACTTCAGAAATCAGTTCAGACACTACTGATTTATATTTATATTTGAGGTATTAGTATACCGAAACGTTTAGTACCTTATTAATGTTCTCCGACCATATTATTAGGGTGCTAATAAAGTTCGTACCGTGATACTAAGTCACCAACTCTGAACTTAAGTCTCATATACTATGTCAACAATCCATTCGTCATTTCTACACTTGTTATTTACGAGTCACTTTAGTTAAACAGGTTATTGGCATTTAGTTTGAAGCTAAATCTGTGAAATTCTTTCCACATTTGAGATAAATTGGTATTTTTTGTTCATTCTGCTTAATACATCTGTCTAGAAATAAAGTTCACACCTTTCAATACTTAGTTTAAATTTATCACCCAAAAACTTACTAAAACTATTTTACTCTTAGTGGGAAAATAGAAGAAATCACTTTGCCCGAACCAGTGGATGTCATTATATCTGAGCCAATGGGCTATATGTTATACAACGAGAGAATGTTAGAATCTTATGTTCATGCAAGAAAGTTTCTAGCTCCACATCTTCGACAGCCGTTAAAAAAGAAGCAGAACAGACGTGAGCATGAACGACTTAATGAAGATGATCAATCACCATATGTCAAACAGTTGTCAGATTCTGAGCATTCTGATGAAGTATTAACTGATGAGTTGGACTGTGAAGATATTGACATAGAGGATCAGGTACATGATGGCGCGACAAAATTATCTAATAGATCATTACCTTGCCCCGGAATAATGTTCCCGTCTGTAGCAAATTTGTATATTGTTCCATTCAGTGATGAGGCACTCTTCGCTGAACAGTACGGGAAAGCTAACTTTTGGTATCAACAGGTTAGTTTAGTAGTCTTCAAATGATTTTATTCGTTTACATCAACAAAATTGTAAAGGCATTATCATTTTAGTTTCCGCTAATTGTTACTCTCCTGTTATCTCGCCCTTGCAAATTATCCTTGGCTGCGTACTTGATATTCTTATCTTCGACCTAAACCCGAAGATTTCCATACTTTGGTTTGTTTGTGGTCGGTTAAACAACTGCACGTGTTTATCGAATATTGTACTCTTAGAAGTTGGATTTGTCTACTGGTCCTCTTCAACGCCCAATATTAGCGATACTGTTTCAGTCAGTCAGCTACAACGTAGGAACAGGCATATATGTGCATCGGTTCAAGTTGACATACCTCATTAACACAACAAGATGAACACCGGATTCATTGAAGTAGTTAATTCAGAGGTGGTAATATATAAAAGAAAGATTGTATATAAGGATATAGTACAGGAAGAAAGAATTAGTTGGTAGAAAGAAAGATATGAAACGATTTTAATCTTATAGTTGAAGGGAAGACAGAGAGTGTATACATCTATGCCATTGTGATCGATTTTGAGCCATGTCACCCAGAGTCTCCAACCATTGGTTACGATAATCACGCGGACATCAACTAAGTTGTATTCATCTACCAACATGGCTAAGACTAGAAGTTAGTGACTTCAAACACTGATTCCACGTTTTGGTTTGGCCGCCCCTAACTTTTTTCCAACCATCTTTAACACCGGTTAGCATTGCACGTCATGGTAATCGGTGTTCAGGCATAGGTAACATGTGGCCCAACCTCTTGAGTCGATGTAGATTCACAAACTCATCAACTGATTCACCATCATTCCCTAATACCCTGCGTCTAACCTCACTATTACTTACCCGGTGATCCCAGCTGACGCCAGCAATATTTCTGAGGCATCTATGGTCAAATACTAGTAGCTTAAGAGTGTCTTCTACTCTTAAATGCCATGTTTCGCTGCCGTCAAGTAAAACAGAACGGACTGCCGCGCAGTATACTCGTCGTTTTATTGATAGGCGGATATCTCGCCTTCGCCAAAGGTGACGTAAGTCGGCAAAAGCCAAACGAGCTTTTCAAATCTGTGCTGAGATTTCGTCAGACACCAACCCATTAAGGCTGATCAGACTTCTAAGATAAGTGAAGTTGTCAACGCGTTCGACTACTTCACTCCCTATCTTTAGTTCAGGTGTTGATGCAGGCCAGTCCTGAAGCAACAACTTGCATTTAGAGGGAGAGAAGCGCATTCTAAACATTCTGGCATTGTTGCTTAGTGCTACCAGAAGACTCTGCATTTTGTCAGCGTCTTCACCAAACAGGACTATGTCATCTGCGTATTCTAAGTCGATAAGTGGACCTCCTGGATGGAGATCAATACCCGAAAACTCAGTCGACGAAAGTGTTATTTCCATCAATAGGTCTGTGATGAAGTGAAACAAAAATGGAGAAAGTGGTCAGCCTTGACGGATACCGCTTGAGGTTGCAAAAGTAGATGACAGTTCGCCATAAGCTCTGACTCGACTGGTAGTGGTCGAGTAAAGAGTCTTCACAAGGTTTATGTACTTCTGAGGTACGCCTTTCAATGACAGACACTGCCACAGAATCTCGCGGTCTACCGAGTCAAATGCTGCTTTTAAGTCAAGAAAGACCACCATTGTCGGACGCCGATATGTGTGCCTATGTTCTAGAACCTGACGAATGGTGAATATGTGGTCGATGCAACCACGACCAGTTGTGAAGCCAGCTTGATTCTCGTGTTTGCAGTTCACGAGTCTTAGTTAGGCGTCTGATTATTATTGAGGCTAGTATTTTAGATACTATATTTGTTAAACTAATCCCTCTGTGGTTGTCACAGGATGATTTTGACCCTTTCTTATATATTGGGACGATAAATGATTGCGACCAGTCAGATGGGGTAACGTCTAATTCCCAGATCTTAGCTAAAATATTAGTCAACCTAACCGCTAAAATTGGACCACCATCCTTAAAGACTTCTGGAGCCAATCCATCTGGACCAGTTGCCCTTCCTCGTTTCAGATTATCTATAGCCTTTTGAACTTCTGCTAGAGTTGGAGGACCTACTTCAATCTTCCATTCACGCTGTCTGGAAATGGAGGGTAGTTTTAGAGTAGCTGAAGGCCAGTTGAACTGTTCTTTGGAATGTTCCGCTCATCTTTCTAAACGTCTGGACGACTGAGAGTGTCGTCTTTTTCCGAAATAGTCTGACTTACACTTGACTTATCAATTCCAGTTTCTTTTATTAGTCTGTAAAGCTGTCTTATATTCTCTATAGCCGCCGCCTTTTCCATCTCTTTTGCTTTCGTTGCCCATCACTACTCACGGTCGTTCCATAGACTTTTGCTTAACCTAGATCTGATTTATTTACGATCTTCATCATGTTCAGAACCTGATGAGACGAGTTTGCGAGAATCCATCAGTGTGATAGACCTTGAAGAAATCCACTGGTTCTTTGTAGCTCTCTGGTTTAAGTCACTAATAGACGTCACTGCTGTTTCCACAGCTGATTGTATGCCTTTCCAAGCAACATCTGGGTCAGCCTCGTTTCCAGAACTATCTAAGTGTGACCTCAGCTGTTCCCGAAACCTACTTTTGGTTTTCTCGTTACTCAACTCAGTTCTAACGGGTCTTTTTAATGTGGCTTTTTTGCGTACAGTGAGGCGCAAGCAGATGCGCGCCCGTATTAGGGCGTGGTCGGAGTCCAAACAGGTACTCCAGAATGAGCGACAATCTTCTACCGACCCTCTCCAACGATGACTGGTGGCAATATGGTCTAGTTGAATCCTTTGTTGGTTTGGTGTAGGGGGTCGCCATGTTAGACGATGTCTCTCCTTATGCTTAAAATTTGTTTGCTAGAAATAAACGATTGTCTGAGCACAGTTGCAGCAGACGATCACCATTATCTGTTCGTTGTGTCGGAATACTAAAATACCCACCTAAATGTCTTTCTGATTGGTTTAAACTACCTATCTGGGCATTAAAGTCACCCCTACGAGTACTATGTATGAGCGTTTAGCTTTCTGAAGAAGTTCTGGTAGCTTTTTGTAAAATTCATCTTTCACTTCATCTGAGCTGCAGTCGGTGGGAGCGTAGGCAGAAACGACAAAAAGGCAACGACGTGTGTCCTTATCCTTCCGAGTTCTTACGGAGCCGTTTAGCCGAACAGCACATAGACGACTGTTGACGGGGATCCACTCTAACAGTGTTTGTTCAGCCCTCATGCTTAGTGCTATGCCTACTCCTGCCAGCCCACGAGAGCTGGCCGTCGGGTCACCAGATACACCGAGGGTGTATCTCGTTGGCTCTCCGTTTTGCCGAGGTAAGGTCAAGTGAATGATCACAATGGGATCCTGTATACGTGTTTCAGAGACACAGCATACATCAATGGTATGAAATTCTAGGGTTCTAGCCAGGGAAGCCTGTCGACCGATTTGACATAGGGTGCGTACGTTGAATGCTCCAATGTGTAGTTTGGAGCGAGGTTTCAATAGACCTGGGACAGTGTTTTGCGCACTAGAATCGTTGGCTATGGTGACAGTTGAGGAGAAAGTCAAAAGAGCAAGTTTAGAGTTGAAAGTCGCGGTAGGAGGAATAATATAAATTGAACAGGGAGATTGATTATAAATGCAGTGATCTGGAGTGCTGTTAGAGGTATGAGGGCGGTTATCACTTCCTGGTTGCCCACACTGTGGAAGGGTTGTTCTGGAGGTGCCTGAAAAGGAAATTGGATTAGAGGTGGTCTTATTGACTTGAGAGCGTGACCACGGTGCCCAAGGGTCAACTACTTGAGGTCGGTCACACACGACCTTTTCATTGTAATTTTTGTGTTAGCTCCGTACTTGTTGGAGACCTTACCGCCGGAGACGGATATCCGTGGGATAAGGCGAGGTGTGCATTTTTAGGGTCGACCTTTTCTAACCTCATCCCTCCTTGTGGGAAGGCAGCATCGCTGTCATGTTGGTTGTCTGAAGGAAACACCTTACTGCTGTTACACCTGTGTACAGTCAGCAGTACGACTTCGCCTTCGGACCTTGGGTTTGTTGCTTTTAGTCTTAGCGCTCTTCAACCGACCTGTCTGTCATAGTAGGACCTTGAGGAAGGATTGTTCCAGCCAGTATAGCTCGGTTGCTTCATCACGATAGGCAAGCCCGACCACTACGTCAAGGTAGCAACAACGGTCGGGAGCGATCCTGTTTGTCCGTATGTGGCTTGCATGGCATTTTCAATAGTTTCGAAAGCTCGAATCATCAGAAGTAGTCATCAAGCATGAGAATGAATAAATAAACATAGGGTCGACAGTTATTCAAATGGAGTTGCACAGAAAATTAACTCCTTGATTGCTCACACTTTGGAAAGTGCGTGGTTATTCTACTTTCTAGGTTTGGTGTTTTTAATCTCTCCGAGTAGTTACCGCTATACTGAGAGTCAGCTTTATTACATCGTTCATGTAATTCAGTTATTTAAGTCTTGTCGCTCTTCAACTGATTTGTTTTGCAATAAAGTAAATCCAATAAAATCCAGACCTAATAACGAGGTTGGGTAGTATCAATAAGCAAACTGACTACGATTTCACAGTAACGAATAGACAAGTTTTTGCAAACTCCATGATTTACTAACACCTGTTATCCCTCGTGCAAGAGCATATACCGCCCACCAGCATTCTTAACTGAACATTGTCCTGGACAATCCTTTCTAGTTGTTGTTCATCCTCTTGATGTCTGCTTCCGACTCCCGACTCTGTGTTCTTTGGTCTTCCTCTTCTCCGTTCCCCTTCAGGATTCCAAGTTAGCGCTTCCCTCGTGATGCGGTTTGATTTCCACAATGTGTGTCCTATCCGCTTCCAGCGTTTTTTCTTAATTTCCTCTTCAGCTGAAAGCTGGTTTGCTCTTTTCTCCAGTTGATCGTTGTTGCTGGTACCCGGTCAACGGACATTGAGTAACTTGCGCAGATAGCTGTTTAGAAATACCTGTATTTTTTATGATGGTTGTAGTAGTCCTACAAGTTCCAGCCCCATACATTAGAACTGTCTTGACGTTCGTATTGCAGATTCTGACTTTGATGTTGATTGACAGTTGTTTTTAGTTCCACATGTTCTTCAACTGTAGAAATTCTGTCCTCGCTTTGCCGACCCTCGCCTTTACGTCTGTGTTTGATCCTCCCTGTTAATCTATGATGCTGTCCAGATACGTGAAGACTTCCATCTCCTCTAGAACGTCTCCATCAAGTGTGATTGGGTTGGTGTTCTTCGTGTTGCATTTGAGAACCTTGCTTTCTCCCTTGTGTGCGTTGAGGCCTACTGATGCAGAGACTACTGGTACACTGGCTGTCTTCACCTACATTTGTTGGTGTGTATGAGACAGAAGAGCTAGGTCATCTGCAAAGTCCAAGTTGTCTCGTTGCATGAAAGCTGTCTATTGTATTCCGTGTTTTTCCTCAGATGTGGAGGTCTTCATAATCCAGTCAACCACTAGAAGAAATAGAAAGAGCGAGAGTAAGCAGCCTTGTCTAACGTCGGTGTTCACTTGTAATGCGTCTGTCAGCTGTCTCCCATACATGACTTCTCAGTGTATTTCATCGTATGAATTCCGTATGATGTTGAAGATAATCTCAAACACACCATAGTATCGAGGATGGTTCCATAATGTTCTTCAATTTACGCTATCAAACGCTTTCTCATTCAAGGAATTTGATGTATGCTGACGGATTCCATTGGTCGACGCACGACCGATCCTTACGGAATCCAGCCTGTCGATCTCAAAGTTGGGCGTCTACCGAAACTTCCACTCGGTTTAACAACACTGTTGTAAACGTTTCCTGATACCGGTAGTAGTGTGATGCCCCTGTAGTTCTTACACTTGCTCAGATTTCCTTCCTCTGGTACCATGATGAGTTATTCAGTCTGTCGGCACTTGTTCTTCCTCCCAAATCTTTCTGAGAAGAATGTCAAGCATGTTTGCAGTCGCTTCCGTATCTGACTTCAGTGCATCAGCCGGTACGTTTTCTGGTCGTGCCGTTTTCCAACACATGATTTGTCTGATGGCCGTACAGACTCCTTCAGTCTTGGGTCGAGTAACAGCTGTAGGAGTATCTGTATGTGCTGCTTCGATGTCTGACAGGTCCAATGGGGCTGACCTATTTACGAGTTCTTCATAGTGTCCTACCCACCTGTTCCTCTTTTCTTGAATCTCGATGATTGTCTTGCCTTCTTTGTCCTTGATCAGTCTCTCTTGTTTACTACATTTCTCTGCTCGTTTCTTTTTCGTGTCATAAAGTTGTTTGATGTTTTCTTCTGTTGCAGCTTGTTCTGCTGTCTTTGCTAGGTCTTCCACATATTTTTGCTTATGAGCTCCAATGCTCTTCGTCACTTGTTTGTTTGCTTCAGTGTATACGGTGTATGCCTTGACATCATCTGCTCTTGTTCAGTTGTTATTATTTGCAATCTTCTTGTTCTCAGGACTTCCAAAGAATCTCGGCTTTAACTATGAGGCGTCATAATTGTTCTGAAAGAAGATTGTTCAACTCGGAGGGCAGAATTGCAATTGTGTTTTTTGGTTAGCGTTTTTCCGCAAGGTCGTTTTCTACGGGATGGGGTTGCGGACACTATGCCCAACCCTCATCTTTTATGTTGTTTTGGGACTGACAGTAAACCTAGATGAAAATGAATAACTCATCCGTCAGTAATAAAGTTAGGTTTATTTCATGATATGGAGTAAGCAATTCGTCTTAGGTTTTAATCCTGTGTGTGCACGTGTTGAAAATGAGTCCAGTTAGAAAGAGTATTGTTGTCACCATTCATTATCTTTTCGTTACAATTTCATTTCTTACTTCTATTCACCAGTTTCATTTGTGAGATTTTAAGATATATAGAATACAATTTGTATTAAAAAAACATATATTGGGGCATTGCATGTTTGCGTTGATTATTAATATACTGTTTCTAATTTTTTATTTTATAACTCTTGATAATACTACTCAGTGTATTTAGTGATTGATAGTATTAATGGTTAACTCTAATCTAAATTCTGTTAATACTGTCAATTTCGCTTCTCTCCAAAGTATACTATTACATTACATAGTCGTTAATGTTTTCACCGGCTTTTTAATTACACATACTTCTCCCCAAACCAGAGTTTTCATGGCATGGATCTAACTGCTCTACGTAATGCTGCCGTTACGGAATACTTCAATCAACCTATAGTCGACACTTTTGATATTGGTATTTGTCCAGCACTACCATGTATACACAAAGTGGATTTCCGTACTGTATCCGAATCCGAACTAAGTTCAATCGATATCCCTCTAAATTATCAAATTACAACCTGTTCTACAGTAAGTTCTTGTTCCGTTTTTCATTGGTTTAAATAATAAAGTGTCCTTGTATGTTTATAATCTTTTCTTATTACTGTTTGCTGTAAAAATAACACAAATCCATATGGTAGGCACATTCTTTGATCGAAAGTATGTGTTTCAGTACATCAATGAAAAATCCTTCAAAGAGCACATTTGGGATCTCTCAAACACTGTTGAAATAAAATATTTAATTCAATGTGGTTAAAGAAATTTATTGAGTTTACGTTACTACCTTATAATTAACTAGAATTGATCAATAATAGTATAATTCATAAATATGCTAAATAGTCTCACCTATATGGACTCACGTAACTTCGTATAAGCTTTATATTTTAGTCTACATCAGTTTATGGTTTTATACATTTTTGAAACTGATTTAAACTTACACTACATCATATTTATTTATTTGAACACATAGATATTGGTACAAGGAGGCAGCAAATACATGTGCGCCACACAGATCTCATTTGATATGTGTGAGGGCTGTGATACTGCGCGGGAGCCCGAACCGAAGCAGGTGGTTTTCTTGAGGGACCAGACCCCCGAACCTTAGACCTGAAGGTCTGATCTACAAGACAGTGGAGCAACGTAAGGAGATACAGTTCGATGGTAGCCAGTGACCAATAATTGGTTCATACGCCATTTGTTCCTTCAGGATACTGGAGCCCATGTGTACCGTTGGTTTGAAATAAGAGTTTTCCAACTCTCCTAGGTGGACTCTCCATGTTCACCACCCCGTTTAAAGTGCCGGACGTTCGCTTTTCGTCCTCTTAATTTCGTAAACAACAGTAATGCCGCGAGAAGGCAGTGAGTAGGACTTCCCTGGCAGAGGCTATATACGCGTGACCATATGAGAGCATTTCGAGAGGGAGAGCGGACTCTTTCCACTCTCGGCCGTACCAGGGCATTTAGGGGCTTTTTTTAAGCCGGCGACACCCGGTATTCCCAGCCGGTCACCCGTGCAAGTACTGACCGGGCACGGTGTAATAATTGAATTCATGAGTCAATTGAAGCTAGATAAAGTTAGGATGAAACGGCTGTCTAGTGTTTCCAGGTTTTCTATTGTGGTCTAGCTTCAATTTACTCATGAATTCAACTATTAAACGTAAACTTTCTTTAGTTTTTTATTATGATATAAATTATGTTGTGAAATAAAATCACTACAGAATGTCATTGCGTGAAAAATTTTTGGTATGTTAAAAATAACTGTAATTGAAATCAGTTATCTAGGAATGTAATCTGTACGTCGATTTCTCATCTAAACCTATCAAATAATCGCTAATAACGGTACTCTTTTCAATTGTGCAAAATTTCGTTATCAGATAAAAGTTGGTCTAAATCTATGATTCATTAATTGAATATTAAATATTTGAATCATTAGATAGAAAACAAAGTAGCTTATGATTAATTCCTTTCAACGAAAAGATCTTTTAAATTCATCAAATCCCACTTATAGGGATTTATGATTTTCAATATACGTTTTCAAGAAGCTAATCGAATGTGGTAACAGTTCGTTAAAAATGGTGGCGACAATAAGTCAGATGGATCGTATGATGGATAACATGTGTATTAATTATGCCTTGGTGTGGCCGAGGGTGGTGAGAATCAGCTCACCCTCTCAAAATGCTTTTACATGGCCATGCGTACCATAGCCTCTGCCAGGGAAGTCCTACTCACTGCCTTCTCGCGGCATTACTGTTGTTTACAGAATTGAGAGGACGAAAAGCGAATATCCGGCGCTTTAACCAGGTTTGTGGATATGGAAGACCCACCCAGAAGAGTTGGAAAACCATGATTCCAAACCGATAGTGCACATGGGCTCCAGGATCCTGAAGGAACAAATGGCGTTGAACCAATTATTGGTCACTGGCTACCATCGAACTGTATCTCCTTACGTTGCTCCACTGCCTTGTGGATGAGACCTTTAGATCGAAGGTCCGGGGTTTGGCCCCCTAAGAAAACCACCTGCTTCGGTCTGAGCACCCGGGCAGTATCACAGCCCTTACACAAATCAAGTGATCTGTGTGGCGCATACATATACGGTATCCCCTTGTACCAATATTTATGCGTTCAAATAAATATAAATTTAGTGAAATTATTTGAAATAAACAAAACTAGTTTGCATTATTAAGTTTGAAGAATTGTTTGCATAACCGATGCATCCATTTTGTAAAGCAAGCGAATAGTTTTTATTAGAGCTGATTAAAAAATATGTATTAAAATAGATTGTAATATACCATTCACGCAAATGGAAGGGGTATTGAGAGATTAGAACTCGTCACCGTTTAAGACCAATCACAACATGGAAACTGTGCTCCATTCGATCTTATCTTAGCGTGTAAACGTTAATATTAATTATCGTAGTTATCCTCTTACACATTGAACTGTAAATGCTTTTAAATACTAACTTATTCCATAGCTGATTGTAACTTTTACACTTCTTTTTCCCATTTATTCTATATTGTTCGGTACAAATCCAGATCCATGGCCTTGCATTTTGGTTTGATGTTGGTTTCTTAGGTTCTCAGCGAGATGTTTGGTTGTCAACTGCACCAACTGAACCACTTACTCATTGGTATCAAGTAAGACAAAAGAAATTTATCATAAGTTTTAGCAAATTTTATTCTTTATATGTGTGCGCATTACGCTTGTCAGTTTTCTATACCTTCTCGACACGGAGGTTCATTTATAAAAAATAATTTTCCCACTGTTGTCCAGACAAATGCACAACAGTATTTAGCTTAAAGAGAAAATGGGTTAGTATAATCATTGAGTTTGATTTGATGATATGTTCGATCTGGTGTTTCATATTGTATACATGTGTTCAGTTAACGTGAAAATCAATTGCATTCCGTATAATTTGAGTGATAACAGCGTGTATGTGCTATTACTTACGGATTAGGAAAAAGCAAAGTTACAAAATAGTGATATGTTTGAAACGATTACGAATTCACCTAGTCCATAAACGGACCAAAGACCAATAAGCTAGCTATTCTGATGCGTTCCAGCTCCGCTAATTAGAGTGAGAAGTCCATATTCTAAACGGGGAAATATATTCCGCAAACAGCCAGAAGCACGAGCAATTACAACGGGCACAAATCAAACGTATATATATATATATATATATATATATATAGTATAAAATTGTCATTCGGAAGCGTTACAAAATGGCATACTCAGAGATACAACCAACCAATAGTGTTTAAGATTTCCCCAAGTGGGAAATACGAAATGAACTTAAAAAATGGGCGCTTTCGGCGCGAAAACAAGGAATTCAAATTTTTAAAAATAAAATTACAAAAAAGGTATTTACCAAGTGAGTTCTGGGGATCTAACATCTCTAACAAATAGTGAGATTGCACACAATATATTCAGTATGTAAAGCAGTGATATCCATAATACAATAGCAAGTAAAATAGGTGTAAACAATTTAGAAAGATTATAAATTTTGGTACAAAATGTATACCGTTTGTAGTTATTACAATTTGTAATCGGTAAAAGAAAAAAGAGTTCAGTCAGAGAAAAGGTGACATTATCAGGAGTAAAATGTTTTCTTTATTTTTAGTACGAACAACAATGATAAAAAAACAGGGAAACGAAAAGTTTTAATCGCTAAGTATGATATTCACGATTTAGAGGAAGATTTCAGGAGAAATACATACATGTAGTGTCTATCTTGAATAAAATACCTATAAGGAAATTTACACAGTCCAGATTACCTACGCCTGTTACCTCCAATGGAGCATAGGCCGCCGACTAGCATTCTCAAAACTCTCTCTGTAACGGGCCTTCCTTTCTAGTTCTATCTAATTGTTGTTCATTCTTCTCATGTCTGTCTCTACTTCTCGGCGTAATATGTTCTTTGGTCTTCCTCTTTTCCTTTGGCCTTGAAGATTCCAGGTAAGGGCTTGCCACACAGCTCAGATTATTAGATAATAATTCTTTAAATTGATATATAGGTAGCATAGTTTTCTGTATGTATATAGATCGTAAACCTACAGATTAGATGCACCCATCATCTTTTATTTTCAAATTGAGTGTGGATAGTAGATTTTTATTTAAGTACTAAAGGGTTTTATACTTTTTTGAACTCATATATTAGTTAACTTTTCTTGTCACCAAAATGCTTCAATTCCACAAATCTTTAAAAATGCCAGAACGATAATTTATTATTATTATTATCATCTTGCATTCAATTAGGTGCGTTGTCTTATGGGAACACCATTATTCGTTCAAGAAGGTCAGTCACTTAATGGACGTGTTCTTATGCGTGCTAATTCTAGACAGTCCTATGATGTTCAAATCGAACTGATAGTTCCTGGTAGTGAAACAAAGGTATATCATGATACAGTATTTTTTTATATTCGGTATTTTTATACACGATTCTTCTATTTTACTTATTTATATTTTCCTGAATTGCATCTTCGATGTACAATCTTTTCTATTACGGCTGATACTGTTACTACCTCTACTATTCTGGGATTTGGCCTGGAAAATTTCATCTTTACTAATGGGATATGACAACTTGAACCGATGTACATACGTACCAGGTTTTGCATTGTGACTAACTGACATACAAAACTATACTTATGTTGGTCTGTCTGTATACAGTGGTATTTCATGTTATACGCCAAATAAATATATGACTGCAAATGTGATTTCTTTCGGTGACTGTATAAATCCACTCGCACTATATAAAGTTAGGTATTGGTTTTTAGACAAATAAATCTCGAAAAGAGATTGGTTATATTCATTTATTTTAGTATTTCTATAAACCTTTTATAATGTATTATTATCATTATTTATTGTAAATATTATCATTGCGCTACATTCTGAATTTATATAAATGGCTATAACTAACACAAAATAGTTAATAGAGTGCAGCGATTTGCTCGTTGGTTACGACAAAACAAAATGAAAGAGAATCTACAAAGGATAATAATAAAATGATGTAAGAACCTTCGTTTCCGTTCAACAGGTTAGTGGATATTTTGACTCAGCGGGTAACGCGTTGGGCTTTCGAAGTAAAAAGTACTGAGTTTGAGTTCCAGCGTAAACATCGCCATTGGAATACAGGTGCATCCGGTTGAAAAATTTCAAGCAGGACGAAATACACGTCCTGGATAACACTGCTAGCTAATAGCTTACCATATATACGGAAATTAATGGTGACGAAGTCTGTTGAATGATTGCAAACAACACAGATGGATGCATATCTGTTACTATCGATAGTGGTGTATGGTATTCCACAAACGGGTTCTAATTTTTTTTCCACTATGATTGACATTCTGTGAATACAGTAATAGTCAACTAATTCTGATAAAAATTTGTCACCTTTCATATTTATATAAACGATGAGACTATAACTTAGAAACAAACCAACTTTTAGGTGTTTTCTCGAAATTCATTCATCCATATCACTGAATGAATAGCATTTTTACAATAGAGTTGACGTGATTTGGTGATAAAAACCCTTTCTCTGATTTCTAACATTGATTCATAACCTTATTTTGATCTTGGGAAGTGAAGTTTCTCAAGGTCACCTTAGTATATCTCACAAACGTCATCCATAAATTATAATCTCACCACATAAATGTAACATCATAATGATCATCACATTAATTATCTATCATTGTTTATTATTGTTTATCATCAATCATAGATTGTTAATAGTTTAGATTTGAAAAATCCACATTTTCGATACAATGGATATCCTCCAGCACCACCGCCTGGTTCACATGTTCGTTCACCGACGGAGACATATTATGCTAATTTGTGTGCACAACAACAACAACAACAAATGGAGATGCAATCACAAACTATGGTCAATAATGGTAATCCTATATCATTGGCTGCAGCGGCGGCTGCGGTTGTCGGCGGCGTTGGTATGCCGAATAATAATAGCGGACAAATAAATTATCGAAATAGTCCTGTTTATACAATGAATCAAGCGACTGGATTTCTTGCTGCCACTGGTTCAATTCCAAATGTTGTTCAAACAATCCCTTTAGCAGTTGCCAACGATAATCTATTACAAAACCAACCACATTCTATGCAATTATCTCCTCAGCCAGTTAATCAATCTTCACTAGAATTTGGTCGTTTTATGACATCGAATCATTCTCAGATTGCTTCTTCAATGCTTAGATCAGTAAACATTCCTTCAGCTACTCCCGTTATTGAACCTTTGACAAATGTTTCTGGCAGTGGAATTCATACAAATGAGTCTGTGTATTACAACCCTGTTATTAATTCGAATTTCGGAGACTCCTGTTTCGCAATGAATAATGTGGTCAATCCTAGCAAAAATTGGAATTCAGGTATCTGCTCTAAAACAACATTTTTTTATTGGATTTTTATGTTACTGCCCTCTTATACTTTTCGTGACCAACACAAAAGAGGGTTCTAAAACGTTTAGTGGTAGCTAAATATAACTTGTCTTTTTAAGTGTTTGACTCCTGGTTTGTTCTGTGTAGGCAGGTACTGGCTTGCTGATTTGTATTCGCAAAAATCGAATAGTTAGGAACTCAAGAATACATGAACTGTAAGCGGTCGAAGTGACTAGTTAATATTTGTGAATTTAGCAGGCCACGTGTTACATATGCCTGAACACCGATTACCACGTCGCGCAATGCTGGCTGGTGTTGGGGATGGTTGGAAAAAAGTTAGGGGCAGCCAAACCAAAAATTAGCATCGGTGCTTGAAGTCACTAACTTCTAGTCTGAGCCATATTGGTAGATGCAAACTATTTGGTTGGGGTTTGCGTCACTATCGTAATCAATGGTTGTTGCCCGTGGGTGACATGGCTCAGAATCGATCACAATCGCGTAGGTGTATACACTCTCTATCTTCCCTTCAACTATGAGATTAAAATTGCTTTATATCTTTCTTTCTTTCTTCCTGTACTATATCATTATATACAATCTTTCTTTTATATATTATTACGATTGGATTAACTACTTCTATGAATTTGGTGTTCATCTTGTTGTGCGAATGAGGTATGACAACTTGGACCGATGCACGTATATTCCTGATTCTACGTTGTACTTGACTGACTGTATTTTCATATCTTACATTTTTTCTCTCAATATTCTCATATAGTTCGGAAGAATATTCTTGACCAACCTGCTTGCTCTATTATTTTTTTTGAAAATCTTTTTTTTTCTTTTTTTTCAACAGGAATACATCAGGAATAATTCCGAGCTCTTTTATAACCGTATAGTTGACGGTTAAGAGTATATGTATGTGAGGATTAATTATTATACAATCGTTCGTTATATGTGGTGTACACAGTAAAACAATATATATATATATATTTAAACCTTTGGCATTTTCGTAAATTCTGATATTTTGATGGAAATTGTTTGTTTATTGTGCATCTATTTATCATTTCTATCATATATGTTCTCTGTGAGAGTAAAAATAAGGATGGTTATATAGTTTATGCTTCTATCTTATTCAATTCACCATATATACACATGCAAGCGAATTCACGCACAATCATTATAGGTAACATATTCTCATTGTTCTTTATCATCATTTACTCTATTTATTGTCAATGAAATTCCTGGTCAAATAATTGAGGATAATGATTATAAGAAATGAGAAAAAGAAACTTCCTTATTTCACTATCAATCTTTATATGTACGTGGTCAATCAATTCAAATGTTTTTTACTTTCTTCTGATAAGAAAATCAACCTAATCACCTTTGTTCTATCAACTGTATCGATGTGCTTGTGTATATTTGCACAGACCGGAATGATAAGTGAATCCAATGAATAATAAACCTATGTTATGAACAAAATAGAATCACTTCCAATCTTAACAATAATGTTACCTATAAGAATAAAAGAAGCTCTTGTTAACTATGAACAGATGGATCGTGCTCTTTTCTTCTATTTGTGTGTTATATCGCTTGGAACAATTTTTCTCTCACTACTGTAGCTGGTATTTGTTTGTTTGTTTTTCATTACTAGTCAATCTCTTCTTATGTACCATTTTGATATATGCAAACATCCATATATATATATATACTCATATTATTGCAATCAATGTAAAAAAAATGTATTTATTCAAAATGTCTTTGGTTGGTTCACAAAATCATAGGATGGTGGATATATAAGATTTCAAGTTGTTTTAGTTGCAGTTGAATCGATAACTGCATCTCTGTGCTGATGTGGTATAGCAACTCGAACTGATGTACGTAAATACGAAGTTCTACGTTGTTACTGACTAGTTGCAGTTCTCTGGGTTGATTAATCCAGTTTAGTTATTCATAATCACTCTTTTATGAATAAACTTGATGACTTCCGTATTGACAGTTACTCAATCGTTTGTTGAACAATAGATACTGTTTAATGAAAAGCGCACATATTTCATGATCATTATTGAGTATTAAGGAATTTAATTGACAATTCTATTGTTTTACTCTAATAATTATCAGTATCCGATCTATCAAAACCTGAGTAAACAAATATCTTCATTAAAGTGTAAGGAATAGATCCATTTTAATATGATCAACGATGAGAGTAGCTATAGGTTTCCAATATTGATAGGCAAGATAAGAATATAATATCAGTGCTATATATCGTAGATTTTTTGCTTATTCAAAGCTTTAAGGTTTATTGTTGAATATAAAACAGCTATGAAAAACTAGAGGCAACATGTTGACAGTTTGATTTTAGTTAAGCTCTTGAACGAAGAATTGGGGATCACTGTCTCGAATATTTGAGTAGGTTTCCGTGATGCACCGTTAAATTCCATTGGTATTTTAGGTTAAAGAATTATTTATTTTAAAAATAATTTTCGTTAACAAAATTACATATCATTGTGAAGCTTTATACAACGATTTACGTAAATACTTATTTCATATATTGCTGGGATGAATTCATTTTGGGTACATTTCGCATTGTATAAAACTACTGACGAAATTGTAATTGCAACGCATTATCCATTAAATCTTCTTACAATACGAGTAAATCTATTTCGTCATTATTTAGTACTCAGCAGTAGACAGTGAAGTTCTTACACCAGAACAAACTTGAAGCTTACTTCTCGAGCTTAGCTTGACGTCGTTAAATCGTTGTCTCTGGTTGTTCACATTATTAACTTAACATTAGATTGCCTTGCTCAGTATTGTAAGCGAACTCATTGATAGTGTCAATCATCTCTGCATATTACTAAATGACAAAGTGTCCAACATATCCACTAGTGGTTATTGAGTAGTTTGATGCTGATACCCATGTACATTGTGTCCCCTAACATGTTGGTTACTGTGCCCTCTTCATCAGTGAGTAGCTGATTGTTGTCTAGGATCCTTTCGTATTCAGTATTATGCTAGTTCATTGATGTGTGAGCGTAGATGATAATGATTGGTTGTTTGCATAGTCAGACATGTAGATAGTCTGACAGGTGTGTCAGATGAGTTATATATTCCCATATCCTTATTATTCATTGTTGTTAGATTGTGTCAGGTTTTTAGTGTGGAAATATATTTACGTTGTGGTCAGACTAATCACTTGTTCTTGATCTGAGTTGTGTTCAAGTCCTGTAGAATAGACACTGGGATGGAATCTAGTGTAGATATTCGTCTAAAGTAAATTAACGTCCCATACATGTAAACATGGAAAAATGAACCGCTATAACATTAGACAAATTAAAACCGAGCATTATAACATTCATATTGGTCGATAGTAAAAATTAAGTTCTAAATGTGAGTTATTAAATTTTATTTTTAAGCAAGAAACATATGGATATCTTAATGATGTTGTATTTTGTTTCCAAGTATATTAATATACAACTGAACATGTTTTAATTTAATCTACACTGAAGTGTAAAACTGTTGTTTGTTTATTGATCGTATCATATTGTAATTTATTTATTTCACAAAAAAAACATTGACGTGAATCGTTAGAATTTTTGATGTTACCATGTTTTGTGATTCAATTCTTTCTTAGAATCGATATTGACAATGTTACTGATTCTTATTTTATAAATTTGAATTCATGTTTTTGTTTATGCGTGAAACTTTTGCACGAATGTTATTCTTCATCGTGATAAAAGGTGCTGTTTTCATATTGATCTGTATCTTTAGTGCTTGGAATATTTCATTCTTTTCTGAGAGTTGCTGTAATTGTAATATAATGCTTGAATCAATCTTACTTAATCTCTAACAATAAAGTTTTCTTTCAAGCTTATCTTTTGAAATAATCAGGGTTAGGAAGGACAAAAATTATGGTATCCAGTTATCGAAGCGTAGTTAGGAGTTATTGTTACAGTGGTCTTGAATGTTGTTACAGGTATGAGAGTGGTTATCACTTCCCGGTTGCTCACACTGTGGAAGAGTTCTTTTAGAGATACATGGAAAACAAATTAGGTTAGAGTTTGTCTTAATGACCAAAGAGCGTAACTGTATTTCCAAGGAGCAATTGCTTGAGACCAGTCACACGACCTTTTTGTGAGAGGTTTTCGTGTCAGCTCTGTACTTGTTGTGACCTTACCGCTGGAGTCGGAAATTCATAGGATAAGGCGAGGTGTGCATTTTTGTGAGAAGGCAGCATCATTGTCATGTTGGCTGTTTGAGGGGAGCACCTTAATGCCGTCACACAACTGTACAGTCAGCAGTACGACTTCAACCGACCTGCCTGGTATGGTAAGACGTAAATGAACACATGTTCTAGCCAATATAGGTCAGCTGAGTCATCACGACAGGCAAGCCTGACCACCACGTCGATGTAGCCGCAACAGTTGAGAGTTATTATACTTACCTGAAGACACAAATAAATAACTAAGCCTTCAGATTTCATACTTAACATATTACTAATAGCCTAATCATCTGGAAATTTAATAGCAATGTTCATATTCATATCAGTTACGAATGGGTCAATTTTTAAAGCACTTAATATACAATGGCTGAAGTGTTGTTTTAGACTTAGCTTCAGTCAGTCAATCAGCTACAAAGTAGGACCAGGCACATATATGCATCGGTCCAAGTTGCCATACCTCATTAACACAACAAGATGAACACCGGATTCATTAAAGTAGTTAATTCAGAAATGGTGATATATAAAAGAAAGATTATATATAAGGATATAGTACAGGAAGAAAGAAAGATATGAAACGATTTTAATCTTATAGTTGAAGGGAAGACAGAGAGTGTATACACCGACGCCATTGTGATCACTTTAGATATGCATCAGTGCAAGTTATTACACTATATCAGCACTGAAATCAACAAAACGATTGCAAAGTAGTAGAAATAATAATACAGTATCAATATCAATGGTGGTGACACTAAACAGAGTGGACTTTGTTCTAAAAGGAATGAATTAAGGAAGATCATGGGACAATGGAGGATTCAAAACTTAAGAGATGATATAATGAAGCAGTGAGATTGCACGTTTCCGATTAAAAGCCTTGACGACTGTATGTCACTTAAAGATGAGAAGGAAAGTATATAAAAATGAAGAGAACTAGAACCAAGTCCTTGATATAGAATATTTTTTAATATTTATTGACGAGCTCACAGTCTGTTGTTAAACCTTTCGATTTAGACTAACATATTAAAAAGACCAGTATTGGAGTTTACAGTTAACTTGATTTGATCCCGACATATGGGCTAGTAATCAATGAGCTTTTCAAGCTAGCCTACTGTAGAAAAACTTGTAAGATATTTAGATGTAATTACCAAATATCGATTCCGTGAAAGGATTATTACAGAGCAAATTATGGGGCAAGCTAAAAATCCCGATATCATAATTACAGCTTCATTATATAGATCTTGAATGGTGAGATATTGTGGTGATCACTATAATAAGGAAAAGAAGTAAACAATGACTCAAACTACTCAATAATAATCAGTAGTATACAAGAGTGGAGGTGTGTACATGAAGTCCACCAGTCCAACTCTACGACATATTTTTGTTTATATCAACGCCCGTAAACAGTGAAGAACAGATTTAAGTAGAGAAATGTTAAGATTTGGATTCATTTAAACACATAAATATTGGTACAAATCAAAGGGTTCTTAGTTGCTTGTTCAGAACAATTAGCAATCAATAGGCATATCGATAATGATCCAGTTTATATGATCAAATTATGTTTAATGTTCACAGAACAAACTTGTTAATCATAAGTGGAGAGATTTCAATAGTTCTCTACCATCGGAAGCTATTGTTAATAATGTTGTCTAGATAGATGATGAAAGTTTCAAGATTAAACTAGTCAGATGTGGGAATGAAGTTCCATCAGTTATTATGTTTTGTGTACAATTCTCAATGGAATTCGTTGATCTTGTTTGTATTTGAAATTTTCCGAATAATAACAATACACATAAACTCATTAAATACGAATACAATATTATCAGAGATTGGATGATTTTGTTGTGAGCATACTAGAAGTATATCTTCGCCTAGAGCTACTGCCGGTCCCAAGCTCGGATAAAGGAAGAGGGTTGGACATGGGGTTAGCGACCCTATCCCACAGAAAACCAACTCGCTAAAAAGCGCTAACCAGAAAAAAAAATCAAACCATTTAAACTCTGTCCTGGGAGGTAGAAGGTTTCCATTCAGAAGAGTTATGACGCTTCGTGATGAAAGCCGGGTTCCTTCGGAAGTCACGTGGCTGATGCCTCTTTTGACGACCAGAGCAACCATTAATTTAGGTACATGGAATGCTCGTACAATGTGGAAGACCATAAGAGTCTTCCAAATTGCTGTAGAGATACTAGAAGAAAACAGGCTACCGTCTTATTTAGGTTAATATGAAGATATACTTCAGATGATGATTTTAGTTTCAATCATGCAATAAATCAACAGATATGTATGTCCTACATTTGATTTACTGACTAATTGATTTATGAACAGGAAATAACGAAAATAACACTCCAAATTTAATGACTAATCAACCAACTATATGAAAGATATGAAAATCATATACGTAACTATGGGTGTGGAATTTTCCATTTATTGATTAATTGATTTTCATTATTGATAATCAAAATACAATAAGCATTAGATAGTAAAATTACGATTTTTAATTACAAAGAGAAATGATAAGTTTCTCAAGTGATTCGTGATGGAGATACCCTAGATACAAAAAAGTCGGATGACATTGGTATCAAGTGTGATATAACGATGGTAAATTGGATGTGATAAAAGTTGAGAAGTGCAATATAATTAAACATAAGCAGCGATAAATGAATGTGAAAATTCTATGAGATCTATTTACAGAAGGAAAATTCTCACATATGTTGTCAGTCAGTCTGCTACAACGTAGGACCAGGCACACAGGTGCATCGGTTCAAGTTGTGACACCTCATCAGCACAACAAGATCAACACCAAATTCATAAAAGTAGTTAATTCAATCGCAGTAAACGAAAGACTGCATATAAGGACATCGTACAAGAATATATGAAGCGATTTTAATCTCATAGTTGAAGGGAAGATAGAGAGTGTATACACCTACGCGACTGTCATCGATTCTGAGCCATGTCATCCAGTCTCCAACCATTGATTACGATAGTGACGCAGACCCCAACCAAGTAGTCTGCATCTACCAACATGGTCATGTTATGACCGCGATGCTTGACTAAATGATTTCAGATAGCAGTATCTTTTAAAACTAACGAAGTCATCGTCAACATAGAATATACACAAAAGTATTTATTTTGAGGAGTTATTTGACATTACAACATTTAGAAATCATAAATCAAGGAAACAACCTTCTAAATTCTAGGTTTCGATCCAAGTATAGATGAAGTAAAAATTTGACCCCATAAAACATGGAATAATTATTTTGAGATGAACAATTTTAGAAACGGTTGATCATCACTTTAATTTGAAAAGAAACCATAATTATAGACAGTCAACGAGGAACAAATGAATCCTTGCGGAAAAAAAAATATTTATAAGCCTTAAACATAAGGAGGATATTACCAGAGTAAAACATACCGTAAAGTACATTTCACGCAACCTTACCAAGTATTTATCTATTGACATACCATACATATGTGAAATATTAGTCATCTCATCAAATTTGTGTGAGGGCTGTGGTACTACCCGGATGCCCAGATTGATGGAGGTGGTTTTCTTGGGGAACTACTCCTCGAGCCTTTGACCGAGCGGTCTGATTCACAAGGCAATGGAGCAACATATGAAGCTAAGTACGTAAGTTAATCGACAAAATATTTCTTCTTTCATTCAAAGGTATTTAACATCAACTGAAGAATTAATGAAAATTAAGATTGATCTAGTGGCCATCAAATCTCATGACAACCATCATATATCAGTAATACATTCATGTTTCTTTCTCAAAAAAAGGAGTAAAGTGAATATTTTAATTACTTGTACTCGATAAGTATAAGCGATATGTAATATATTTGAGAAATCAATGGATGTAGTAGTCATGTGTTATAGTATGACGATTTTAGTTAGAATATCAAGTGAAAACGCTTATCATCAAATGATGTAATTTATAGATTATATACACATATACATGTGATTTATATATATCATGAATATTAAGCACTTCTATTTACTCACTCTTAACTTTAGATCAGATGAAATTGATTTAATTCGCTGTAAAGATTGTAGTATAATATATGCATAATTAACGAACATCTCATAATATAACGAAAACTTCAATTACAGTATCCAGTTCAAAGAATGGAACTATACTGCGATATGATTGAATTACTTACTTACATAGGCCTGTTACTCCAAATGAAGCATTGACCGCCAACCAGTATTCTCCAGCCCACTCTGTTCTGGGTCTTCCTTTGCAGTTCTATCCAGTTTTTCTTCATTTTTCTCATGTCTATCTCCATTTCACGGCGTAGTGTGTTCTTTGGTCTTCCTTCTTTCCTGTGGTCTTGAGGATTCCATGTGAGGGCTTGACCTGTGACTCAGTTCAGTGCTTTCCTCAACGTGTGTCCTATCCACTTCCAGCGCTTCCTCCTTCACTGGGATCTGGATTGTTCTCTCCCACAATAGGTTGTTGCTAATAGTGTCTGGCCAACGGATCCAAAGTATTTTGCATAGACAACTGTTAATAAACACCTGTATTTTCTGGATAATTGCTTTCGTAGTTCGCCAGGTTTCTGCCCCTTGCAGTAGAACTGTCTTGACATTTGTATTGAAAATTCTGACTTCGGTGTTGCTTAAAAGTTGTTTTGAGCTCTAGATCTCTTCCGATTGTAGATATGCTACTCTTGCTTTACCGATCCACGCCTTCACATCTGTATCAGTTCCACCGTGTTCATCAATGACGCTGTCCAGATATGTAAAGGTTTTTACATCTTCCAAATCTTCACAGTCAATTGTGATTGGATTGGCGCATGCTGTGTTGTATCGGAGAATCTTGCTTTTCCCTTTGTGTATATTGAGACCTACTGCTGCGGCTACACTGGTCGCCTTCTCCTGCATTTGTTGTTGAGTTTGCGATAGGAGGGCCAGATCATCTACGAAGTCTAGACCGTCCAACTGCATCATAGATGTCCACTATATCCCGTGCGTCCCTTTAGATGTTGACATGAGAAAAATGAACAAGAATTGCATGGAACAAAAAATGCCCAGGACAGAGTGGGTTGGAGAATGCTGATCGGCGGCCTATGCTCCATTAGGAGTAACAGGTGTAAGAGAATAGGAAGAAAGAATTAGTTCGTAGAAAGAAAGATATGGAGCGATTTTAGTCTCATAGTTTAAGGAAAGACAGATAGTGTATACACCTACGTCATGTTGTTATATCCGAGCGAAGATTAAATCACGAGTAACGTCTGAGACTTATTAACTGACTAATATTATTTACACATTCTCATGGTATAAATATTCGGTAACTAGATTATGTATATTTATATTTCTCTTATTATAAGCTATATTTTGACCTATAATTTATTATTGTACGATTTACGGTTCTTAAGCTATGTTCAGTTTATTGACTACTGCCTCCCACGTTCACAGTCACTTTTTGGCTTTATTGTGTACAAATGTTACTTCCTATTTTATGGTGCGTTGCGGTCTGTTTGATTAATATATACACTCAGTATGTCTGAAATAAATAATTCGATTCGCATATTGGAAGCTGGTATTCGGTGTTCTGGACTCAAGTGGACGGGCTAGGCGGACATAGGACCAATAACGACGCTAGACTGCCCATACCTGTCGAACGTCATTGGTTTGGCACAGTGCTAAGATTGTATGAGTCGTATTTTGATTGGTGGATAAATCACGTGGTAAAAGCCGGACATAAAGGCAAAACACATGTCACCTACAGTCTCCAACCATTGGTTACGATGGTCACGAGAACCCCAACCAAGTAGACTGCATCTATCAAAATGGCTAAGACTAGAAGTTAGTGACTTCAAGCACTGATGCCACGTTTTGGTTTGGGTGCTATTAACTTTCTTACAGCCGTCTCCAACATTACGCGCCGTAGTAATCGGTGTTCAGGGAAATGTAACACGTGGCCCAATCACCTCAGTCGATCAATATTCAGAACCTCATCAACTGATTAAATCGTTTTAGATTTATATCGACTGTCGATTAAATGCTCAGTCTCAATACAGGCGGATCACATTGAATTATGGACAGGAGAAAGACATTGTAAGGAATGGTTATTTATTTATACACATAGATATTGATAGGAGGTACCACAAGGCAGTGGAGCATCGTAAGTAGATGCACTACCATGGAAGCCAATTGCCCAACGATTGGTTCATACGCCATTTGTTTCTTTCGGATCGTGGAAACCATGTACACCATTGGTTTGGAATAAGGGTTTTTAACTCCCCTAGGTGGACTCTCCATATCCACCAACCCGGTTAAAGCACCGGACATTCGTTTTTCATCCTCTCAATTTCATAAACAACACCCACGCCACGAGAAGGCAATGAGTAGGACTTCCCTGGCAGAGGCTATATATGCGTGACCATGTGAGAGCACTTGAAGAGGGAGAGCGAACTCTCCCCACTCTCGACCGTACCAGGGCATTTGGGGGTAAGGAACGGTTAGTCACTAACAATTAACCCATTAGATAAAATAATCACTTAGTTAAGAAATCATACATATTAAATGTATAGACATTCTGAACAACAATAAAATAGCATAGATTAGTTAATATCAAAAACATCTACCTAATACTCTGTATATAACAAAAGTACACACAAATCAGGAAAGAACAACAATACCATAGTAAAATTAGAACAAATCTATTTATCTAAATTAAATATATTATACCGTGTGTATTGTTCATATATAGAGAAATACAACATGTTTAGAAGGAAAAACATACTATGAAAAGATGGAAAAAAAATTCATCAAAAGAAAAAACCGACAGGAATTTCTGTCATTAGTATCAATTAGTGACTAGACTACTTACAATAACTTTCAGAAGTATTATCTTTAGTACAATATATTTGTTATAATAAAAGTACATTTTTTGTACTAAAAGTGTATAGAAACTGTGATATATATATAAAGAGAGAGAGGGAGGGAGGGAGAGAGATGGCTGGAGAATATGTACTTTATTTACAGACACAAAGATACGTGTTGATATAGCAATATTTGACAAACAAACTTAGATTATTAAATACAAACGAATGAAGCCTGACAACACAGATGGAAACATTTTCAAAAAAAATCGATAGAGATTAAACTAAGCAAATGAAATAGCAATTAGGAACCCCCCACCGAACGAACCGAAAAATACACGATTCTCTTCAATTGTTTTAATAATCTACAAGAAAAAGAAATGAGAAAATGTTTTAGATATTGGAAAAAGGATTTCACTCTATCTGTATAGGGTTATGGAGCTTATTAAGTTTTTGATTGAAATCATGAACTGATTGATGTTTAACCACCATTGAAAACCTGGAAGCACTGGATGGCCGTTTCGTCTTATTATGCGAACCCTCAGCAGTGTGCATACACGATCCCGTTCGCGGGATTCGAACCCAGGGCATTCTGTCTCGCGCGCGAACGCTTAACCTCTAGACCACTGAGCCGGCGTCCAACGTAGTTAATGTCTAACCTCAAATAACCCACAAAATTGCGCGACCATCTTACATTGTACTGAGGTAGATACCTGTCTCTATCCGACACGGATTAGCTCCACTGATCACGGCTTCTCACAAGAACTTCGAGAATTTTCTCACGAAGCTAGTCACTAGTGAGCACATGGTAATTATTGACTATGTTATTAAAAATTTGATGATATATCCCTAGAATTAAGTTATTAAGGTTATTGATATCACTGGCCTTTTCAATTGTCAGTGACAGAAAAATAATGAAAGCTTCAAGATTACAATATCCGGTTCAAAGAACGCAATTACATCAAAATGTTGTAATTTGTGACATGATTGAATTAATCGAGTGTTTATAACTAATTCATTAACAAATGAGTTTCAAGTTCAAATTTAGTTCTGAGAAATCTTCTCTACAATGAATTACACTGAACACGATGCAATTGCTGAATGAAATTCGGTAACTAAGGATGAATTTGAACATGCGAACACATACTTCGAAAAAGATGTACAAACTTTAAAAGCTAAAGAATCGACGGGGTGTAAGAAATATCTTAGTTATCGTAGTTGACATGCAATATATATATATATATATATATATATATATATATATATATATATATATTTAATGAGAGAGAAGCGAATGTCCGGCGCTTTAGCCGGGTTGATGGACATGGAGAGTCCATCTAGGAGAGTTGGAAAATAACCCTGATTTTAGACCAATGGGGCACACGGGCTCCAGTAAACCCACAGGAAACAAATGGCGTGTGAACCAATCGTTGGTCACTGGCTACCATGGGACTGCATCTCCTGAAGTTACTTTATTGCCATGTGGATTCGACCTTCAGGTCCAAGTCTCGAGGTGTGGTCCACTAAGGAAAACACTTACTTCGGTTTAGGGACCCGGGTAGCATCCCAGCCCTCATACAAATCGAGTGATTTATGTGGCGCATATCTGTTTATTGCTTCCTTGCACCAATGTTTATGTGTTTAAATAAATAAATAAACGAGAGGGAGAGAGATTAAGCACATATCAATATCACTTTTCCCCATATTTGAGTTTTTTTTAAATCGCGGGACAATTACGATCCAAAATGATGAACACCACTTTTCAATGTTGTAATATTATTAAAACAACTGTGAAGTGTAGTTTTATAGTGCGATGGATAATATACTAAATTTAATGTTAAAAACATAGATGTAGACATTGAATAGTATAATGTACTACGAAGTTCGAAATATCTTTGATAGTTGAAGTTAACAGTAGAACGGCTTTTTCATGAATGACTTGAAATTTATAAAACAATATAGTTTATTAAAAAGCTGAATGGTTGATCTAATAGAGCAGTAGTCTCATTGTATTTCTTGTGATTTCGTTCAGAATTTCCGAGTCCTCAAAAATATACGTTTAGTTGTTTCTAGCATACGACGTTGGGTTGAAAGTTTTATAAAGCTTTATATTTAACATTATTATTCATATTTATTTGGTACAAGGAGGCACTAAATACATATGCGCCGCACAATAACAATGAGGCCAGTGACAGTTATCATTGATTTTACTCCTAATTGTATCTATCTTACAAATATGTTTGGACAGCTTTTTTCACTATATTGTTCACTGAGACAGTAGGAAAAACATATAGATGAATAACAAATACACGAATTCAATAAAGTTTTATAAAGTGGAGTTTTTTTCCAACTACAAGTCAACTAGTGGGAGAACCGAAAACAAAAAAACCGATCTTTCCAAATCACAATTGTCTTAAAGCTCAAATGATTTAAATTATTATTTACTCATGTATACACACAGCAACATTCTAATTCTATGAACACCAAATAATTTTTATTACACACAAAAATTAATGCACCATTCTTAACACCAAGTAAAAGATTGAAACATTAAGAAATCTAGAAAATGGGAGGGTGAATAATAATGAGTAATACAATATTTTTAAGTATATTAGTCGTTTAGGTGTTCTAAAAAGTTCATGACTCAATGAGAACGTATTAATTTTATTAGTGCTAAAATGGTCGTTATAAATTTTTGAATTGATATTACCTTACTGACTTTTGCTGTTATCTGATTAGCTACCTTCTCTTTTAGTTTATTATTTTCATCATATATCCTAAGGTTATAGTTTTTATTGTATAAAAATTTGTTGTATCACAATTTCGACTTCTTGAAATAATCGTGAGCTCCCAAATGCGACGAGGGTGTTGTTTCAGAAATCGAGAGAACGAAAAGCAAATGTTTGACGCTTTAACCGGGTCGGTAGGTTCGAACATCCTTTTAGGGGAGTTGGAAAACCCTGATTCCAAACCAATAGTCGATGCTACAGTATGACTCTGTTGGAGATAACATGGAAGTTTAAGGTATTTGTCATTGTCATAGGTGGTAACTGTTCTGGATAGCCAAAACTAAACACTAATAAGCAACTCAAAGCCTTTGGATGGTTGTTAAGTCTCTATTGATAGTTCAAACCGAATCGACTGTCATGAGGCTGTTAGCGGAACATCCTAATAGAAATACGAAAAATGTCTAAGTAGACGACAACACTAAGGAAGCATTAGTCAAAGTGAATGAAAGGATTGCTAAGTCAACGACAATTGCTTACAATTTCATACATCAGGTAACATTTGTCCCGATCATTGCTGCTACCTCAAGATTCTACCATGCCAAACAGGTCGGTTGAAGAGTGGCAAGATTAAAAACAGCAAACCCAAGGTCTGAGGTCGAAGTCGTACTGCTGACTGTGCACAGGTGTGACGCCAGTAAGATGTTTCCTTCAGACATTTAACATAACAGCAATGCTGCCTTCCCATTAGAAGGGGTGGGATTAGAAAACGTCAACCCTAAAACGCACACCTCGCATTATCACACGGATATCCGTCTCGAGCGGTAAGGTTCCAATAAGTAAGGAGCTAACAAGAAAATTACTCACAAAAAGGTCGTGTATGACCGACCTCAAGCAGTTGCCCCTTAGGCACCGCGGGCACGCTCTTACGTTACTGAAAACACCTCTAATCCAATTTCCTTTTCAGGTACCTCCAGAAGAACCGTTCCACGGCGTGGGTAACCGGGAAGTGATAGCCCCCCACTCATACCACTAACGGCACTCCAAATCACTGCGTTTATAATCAATCTCCCTGTTCAATTTATATTATTCCTCCTACCGCGACTTTCAACTCTAAACTTGCTCTTTTGTCTTCCTCCTCAAGTGTCACCATAGCCAACGATTCTAGTGCGCGATACACTGTCTCAGGTTTACTGGAAACTCGCTCCAGATTACATACTGGAGCCTTCAACGTATGCACCCTGTGTCAAATCGGCCAGCAGACCTCCTTGGTTAGGACCTAGAATCTTGTACCATCGACAGTGTGAATGGAACATTAAAGTAGGTCCCCCGACTCTACCTGAAGTTCAGAAAGCTATAGCTAATCTGAAACGAGGGAGAGCAGCTGGTTAAGATGGATTGGCTCCAGAGGTCTTTAGGGACGGTGGTCCAATTTTAGCGATTAGGTTGACTAATACTTTCAGTCAGTCAGTCAGTAACAACGTAGAACTTCGTACGTACGTACGTCAGTTCGAGTTGCCCTAACATATTAGTACAGAGATGCAGCTGTCGATTCAAATCCTATAGTGGTAGAGGTAGTAAAAGTATAAGCAGTAGTCGGAAAGATTACGGTTTGAAGATGTTACACAAGGAGTATAATCGAGTGAAATAAATTTGGAAAGAGAAAAAGAAAAGGGAAACGAATAATTCATCAGATTAGAACTTGAGAGAATGTAAAGAGTGAATGAAACTGAGCCCTTGCACACGATTTTGAGCCATGTCATTCAGGGTCTCTAACCATCGGTTGCTATCATTTCGCAGATCCAAATCAGGTAGTGTTCACCTACCAACGTGACTCAGACCACTTGTCAGTGACTTTATGGATTTGCGCCATGTTTTGGTCTGACCGCCCCAAGCTTTCTTCCAACCTACTCCTATACCACTGAACATCGCACGTCGAGGCAGTCGGTGGTTGGGCATACGTAACACGTGTCCCAGCCATCTCAACTGATGAAGTTTCACTACTGCATCAATTGATTTGTCATCATTACCTAGTACCCGTTTCCTAACAACTGCGTTACTTACGGTATGGTCCCAGGATATACGAGCAATGTTTCGAAGACACCTATGATCGAATACTAGTAACCTACGAATATCATCTACTCTTACCGGCCATGTTTCACTGCCATAGAAGTAGGATTGAACGAACTAATGCTTTAGCTAAAATCTGGGGGTTGGACATAATCCCATCTGGCTGGTCACAATCACTGATTGTCCTAATATATAAAAGCGGGTCAAAATCACCCTGTAATAACCATAAGTTTAAGATAGAATCTAAAATACTACTCTCAATAATGTTCGGATGACTAAAAATGACTCGTGAACTGCAAACACGAGAGAATCAAGCTGGCTTCACAACTGGTCGTGGCTGCATCGACCACATATTCACCATTCGTCAGGTTCTAGAACATAGGCACACATATCGGCGTCCGACAATGGTGGTCTTTCTTGACTTAAAAGCAGCATTTGACTGTAGATCGAGAGGTTCTGTGGCAGTGTCTGTCATTGAAAGGCGTACCTCAGAAGTACATAAACTTTGTGAAGGCTCTTCACTCGAACACTACTAGTCGAGTCAGAGCTTATTGAGAACTGTCATCTGCTTTTGCAACCTCAAGTGGTGTTTGGCAAGGTTGTCTACTATCTCCATTTCTGTCTAACTTTATCATAGACCTATTGATGGAAATAACGTTCTCGTAGACTGAATTTTCAGGAATTGATCTCCTTCCGGGAGGTTCACTTATCAACTTAGAATACGCAGATGACATAGCCCCGATTGGTGAAGACGCTGATAAAGTGCAGTCTTTCAGTAGCACTGAGCGACAATGCTAGAATGTTTGGGATGCTTTCCCCTCTCTAGACCCAAGTTATTGCTTCAGGACTGGCCTGTGTCAACACCTGAACTTAGGATAGGGAGTGAAGTAGTCGAACACGTTGACAACTTCACTTATGTTGGAAGTCTGATCAACACTAATAGGTTGGTGTCTGACGAAATCTCTGCATGGATTCGAAAAGCTCGTTTGGGTTTCGCCAACTTCCGTCACCTATGGAGAAAGCGAGATATCCGTCTATTAATTAAGGGACGAGTAAACTGCGTGGCGATTCGTTCCGTTCCACTAAACGGATGCGAAACGTGGCCATTAAGAGTAGAAGATACTAGTAAGTTACTGGTATGGCATTCAACTGATAAGATTATTCATGAGTATCAATAAATGAAGAAAAGGAATAAGTGAAAACGAATAAAAATTGGTGCTTAGTGAAAAATTTGATGACAAAATTATAAGCAGCCATATCACCAGCAATAATACGTATATATAAGGACAATGATTCACAACAATCTACGACATGCACATTTCTTGTATGACTAACTTTATTTTTCGACACACGCTTTACATAGAAATAAGTAAAGTAAAGGAATTATAATGAAATTTTAAAAAAGATCTAGTGGGCAAATTTGTACAAAACTAAGTAAATGTATAAAGAAACCCGTCCTCACTTTAAACTAGCATGGCAACTGAGGGTGTTGATAACCGAGAAAAAGTAAGCGAATGTTTTATTCCGATTCGGAGCTATTCATAGGTAAACAGTTAAAGATTTTCGAAACATTTACATCCTGTGTTGAACAAGTTGCAATTAAATTGTTGATTACTAAGTAGGATGCTCCCAAATACCCTGGTACGGCCGAGAGTCAGCTGTCCCTCTCTAAACGCTCTCATATTGCCACGTGCACACAACCACTGCCAGGGAAGTCCTGTAGTGAACGAGAACGCAAGTGAGGACAATCCAATATATTTGAATACAAAATAACGGAACATCTTGGTAAAATCTGAGAACCATAAAGTAAATACTTCATTTGCAAAATGTCAACCAATCATCTAAGACTTCATCGTTCTTTCGTTTCCACACCAATCATTCTTTGTTCCTTTTCTCTTTTCTTTGACCTTCTTAAACTTCTGCTCCGAGCATTTCACTTTTGATTGATGATACATCCTACTTATATCTGTCAACATTTGTAACAGATACCACAGTCCTACTCAGTACCTTCTCGTCGCATTACTGTTGTTTACGAAATTGAGAGGACGAAAAGCGAATGTCCGGCGCTTTAGCCGGGTCGGTAGGTTGGAGCATCCCCCTAGGGAAGCTAGAAAACCCTGATTACAAACCAATGGAGATCATGGGCTCCAGGATCCTAAGGAAACAAATGGCGTGTGGGCCTGTTGTTGGTCACCGGCTACCATGGGACTGCATCTCCTGATGTTGCCCCATCCCCTTGTGGATTAGACCTTTAGGTCAAAGGCTCGTGGTGTGGCCCCCTAAAAAAACACCTGCTTCGGTTTAGGGACCCGAGTAGCATTCCAGCCCTCACACAAATCAAATGATTCATGTGACGAATAGCTATTTGGTGCCTTTTTGTACCAATGTATGTGTTTAAATAATTAAAAAATAATAATAACAAGTCCTAATTGAAACTAGACGATAGAGGTTCAGTGAGAGATGAGATTGACCTTGTACAGTTACTATAGATATATATGGGGTACATTTATTGTGACGTTATAAATAGACGTAGAAACAGAATCAACGTCATTAAAACCACACATCAACAAAATATATACGATTTGGACATTTACAGCTGAGTCATTGTTGAGTTAGAATTGCATTCAATAGACAGTAATAGGTAGCGTAGGGCTTGTTCTAAATGTATATCGATCCAAGTTACCACAACTTACATTGAAGACATTAGGAAATAAAACTAACAAGATGGACACAAGATCGAAAACAATTATAATTAAGGTTGAACCCAACTGTTTCACTGCAACTGATTCTGGGACATATTACCTGACGTTTTTTATTTATGGGTTACGATTAACTTACAGATTCCAAACTGAAAATTTGCACTAGCCGATGTTATTAAGTTCGAATGTTTAAGACTTGGTGGACTGAATTCACGCCTTCATTTGGTGGTCTGTGGTTTTCTTTTAACCTACTCTTATGGAACTCAGCATTGAGTGCTGAGGTAGGCAGTGGGTGAGATACGCTTATCATGTATTTCTTCTACCTAGGTTTATGAGCTTGTGGCCTAGTTAGTCGAATGTCCGGCGCTTTAACCGGGTTGGTGGACACGGAGACCACCTAAGGGAGTTGGAAAACCCTCATTCCAAACCAATGATGCACATGGGCTCCAGTATCCTGAAGGAACGAATGGCGTATGAACCAATCGTTGGTCACTGGTTACCATGGGACTGCATCTCATTACGATGCTCCACTGCCTTGTGGATGGAAATTTTAGGTCGAAGGCTCCGGGTGTGGCCCTCTAAGAAAACCACCTACTTCAGTTTGGGCATCCGGGCAGTGTCACAGCCCTCATACAAATCAAATGATTTGTGTGGCGTATATGTACCTGGTGCCTCCTTGTACCAGTATGTGTTCGAATAAATCAATAAATTAATCGATTTATCAATTCTCATAAAAAATCACAAAGACCCTTTGATCAACTATTATCAATCGAGTACTGGCCTACGATGGCCCATCAAATGAATTCAACGAGTCAAGTAGTTTATTAGAACTACCAACTTATCTCAACCTTTACTGTTTCATACATACGCTATTGGAACTGTATTGATTTCGTTTTATCTCTGAACAGTAGTCAGAAAATAAGTCATGAGAAAAATGATATATGATACGATTAAAGTTTCTATTTGACTATATGTAGATCAGTGAGTTATATACTGAAGAGATCAGTCGATTCCCCAATTTGAATAAAGGAACAAAATTTGCCTTAATTGCTTATTTCGCGTGCATATCTGGAATTTAGAAATAGCATACAGTAGTTTTGACCTAAAATATTAGTAAGGATTTAAGAATTGCAACTAAAATGTTTGGTTAGCAAAGCAACTAGGTACTTTGCAAATTAGTAAGTCATGAAATAAAAGAGCAAGGATACAGAAAGAACTATCAAACACTATTCCGAAACCAAAGACACAACCCACTGAAAACCTACCTTGTCTTCGAAGATGGCAGGTGTGTTTGACTGTATTTGGTGACCAGCACGTTCCACTTTTCTCCAATTGATACGTATAACGTCTTGTTGGACGGCGCACTAAGTGAACATTTTAAGCAATAGAATTATATAATGCAGAATGATAATAAAAATAATGGTAATCGACAATTGTTAATGTTACTAAAACATATGAACACGGTAATCATGAATTAAATTGTGAAGTTGTATCAGCCTAGCCGACTGAGATATATGGAGTGCATAATCGACGGCCACCCACACTTATATTGGGTTTTGAAATAAAATCAGTCAATCCATTTGATCGTTTTCAATTGTTTGAACTACCATATAGTCCATATGGTTAGTGCATGAGGAAATGAGATCTAAATGATATAGCCAAATAAAAACCAGTGTAAAGTTTGTATGTTATTTAGGTCACTAGCATTATTTTTTTTAATAACTTAAAAGACAGTTTGCTGTATCTGGTTTACTACTTTTGATCAGCCTCTAAGCTTAGTAACATTCTATGTATATTTTTAATTTTAAGTTGCTGATTTACCTACCGTTTAATTTTGAACTATGAAAACAAACCAACTCACGAAAGCCGCACGTATGAGAAAATGTTTAAATTCTAATATTTTGTAAAATAAGCGATTTTTGACTTATAGCTCGCCAATTTAAGATGTAGTAAACCATAGAACGAAGTAGACTTTAAAATGATGATGGTATGCAGGTCAGGAAAGGTGTCTATTACGTTAGAAATGGCGAAAAACAAGAAGGGCTATTCATGAGGATGTTTTAGTCATGCATACGAAACCATGACATATATTGATGGGAAAATTGATTTGTACGAATGCACAAATGTAATTAAAATCATGTAGTACATGTTAGCGACACTAAACAGCAGTTGAAACATTATTATTTTAAGGAACGGAGCTGTATAGAAAAAGTGAATAGCTTTTACAACCTAAATCACACTAATAATTGCATTATTTAGACTCCTTATTTTAACATTTTTCAACAAACCTCAAGAACGACTTTTAAAGACAGTTTACAAAAGTCACATACTTGTAAGGCAATCAGACTTCCACCCAAAAGAAGAGCAGCAACCCTGCCGATTTTCGCGAATATATAACCTGCAAGTCTAGGGAAGCAATTCGAAACCTTTGTTACGATCTTACAGTCCTGATCCTACACCTATAATAACCTGCTGGCGATGAGGACGGCTTTTGATGTCGTCGAGTGTATCCTTCACTGCAGTTAAGGCACGTTCACCCTGGCCCTCAGTTCTCGTCATAGTAGCGCAAATTATGAACTGACCGCCCTGAACCTCTATTATTCAGGTTTCAAGGTAGTGGTTCAGTCGACCTGTGCTGTTACTTGAGATATGTATAAGCGAAGTTTTTCACTCGTCATTTTTTGAAGATAAATCTGCTATCACATGTTTAGCGTCTTTTAGTCGTTTATGTGGTTGTTTGTGAACCCTTTTGCTGTGATAACGAAGATTATTAGTGGTAGATGGGGCAAAAAGTTAAGACATGTTGACATCTGAACTATTCATTCGGGTGTGGGGTGTCAGCAAAGGATTATTTCATGTGTTACAGTAAAATAAGCTGAGAATTTTCAAGCGTCATGATCGATAATTAAATGGCAGTTTGTCAAAACCTGTTACTAAATACCCTTAAGCTTTCGAAAGGTTCAAATGGTTCAAATGGTTGTGGACGGAATAGAAGAAGCTTTCGCTTAACAGGCTTCCGTGTCTAGTAGCAGGGGATCACCAAATCCTCCAGGTAGGAACCTAGGTATGTTAACAATAAAAGAGGAAAAGAAATTGGTAAATCATAGTATGATAATGTCCTTGGTCCTTAAGAATAGGTCAAGTTGCCTCTTGAACGACTCCTGAGAAGTCGCTTGGACTAGCTCGGCCGGCAGCGAATTCCAGCTTTTGACAACTCTTAAGGAGTAGAATTTGTGTCTACATCCCGTCTTGCTATGTTGAGTTTCCAGTTTCTGGGTGTTACCCCTTAGGTTGGTATTCGAACTAAGCTTAAGTAGGTATTAAAAAGATGTCCAGAAGTGTTAAGAATACTATAAGCCATTGATAAATCACCTCTAAGACGCCTATACTCTAATGGGTAAAGGTCTAGTGAATGGAGGCGTTCTTCGTAAGGCTTAGATTTGAGTCCGCGAACTGATTTCGTGGCTCGCCGTTGGATACGCTCTAAAGTGACCTTGTTCTTTTGGAGTGAGGGGGGAGTACTATATTTCCGTACTCTAAATGGGGACGGATAAGACTATTGAAGATTGTATGGAAATTTCTTCCGTCAAACTGGCCAAAAATGCGCTTCAATGTTACCAGTGCAAGGTTTGCTCGGAAGGCATTTTTGTCACAGTTAGCGTAAGACTTTAAATCATGGGGCACCAGGACTCCTAAATCTTTCTCAACTTGGGATGCTATTAGAGAGGAGTTTCCTTAGTTGTAACTGTAGTTTGCGACATGTCGCAGATGGACTACTTTACACTTTGAAGTGTTAAAGGTAAGTCCTTTATCATCTGCCCAACTTTGAAGTCGAGTCAGATCCCCCTGAAGTGCCTGTGTATCGTCTTGGTTGCGTATCTCTCTCCAAAGTTTCACGTCATCGGCAAAAAGTAATAAGTCTGACGTTACTTGTTGAGGAAGATCGTTTATGTAAATCAAGAAGAGGAGAGGCCCTAATACTGAGCCGTGGGGAACCCCACTAGGACATTCCATAGCCTGAGATAAAGTGAAATTAACCCTAACCTTAAAGTGTCGATTTTCTAGGTATGAAGTAAGCCAATCGATTAGAGGTGGTTTGATACCTAGTCGTTTGAGCTTATTGATAAGACACAAGTGGTTAACTTTATCAAAAGCTTTTGAGAAATCAAGGTATATGACATCAACCTTTCCCTTGCAATCGAGGATGCTTGTCCATCTGTCCACCGCAGTCAGCAGGTTGGTTATACAAGAGTAACCCTTCCTGAAACCATTCTGTTGGGGTGAGAAGAAGTTTAAGGACAGTAGATAATCATCTAAACCATCGCATATCAGGGACTCCATGAGTTTTGAAGGTAATGACAGAAGAGCCACCGGCCGATAACTTGAAGGTTCATTGCGTCGACCCCCTTTGAAAATTGGTGTGATGTGAGCCAACTTCCAATTTTCCGGTAGTTTGCCTCGGCTTAGCGAGTGTGAAAACATCACGCTAAGCGGTGTTGCCAGGATTGAGGCTGCCTCCCTCAGTATGGCAGAATGAACCATATCCGGGCCAGGAGAAGTATCTAGTCTTAAGTGCTGCAGTTTCCGGAACACCAAGTCAGCGCTTAGGTCCACTTCGGAAAGCCCTGTGGAATCAAAGGTGAATCTGTCGTCAATAGAGTTGATGTCAGCCGGCTGAAATGTTTGAGAGTAATGTGCCGCCAGAAGGTTAGTGGCGTCACCATCGTTGTTGGTTGGGCCGTTAAGACCTAGCAGTTGAGAAACTCCTGTTTTGGCTTGACGAAGAGAGGCTGCATAACGGAATGGGCTTCTAGGGTTAGAGGCAAATTTGTCCATAAGCTTTGTCTGATAATGAAGCCTGTCTTCTCTCATAGCCTTCGTGCATATGTTCCTGATATGTTTGTATTGCCTATATGCTCCGTCGTTGTCAGTTCGTTTGTATTCCGCCCAACAGTGCCTTTTACGGTTTAGCAGGCGAAGGGTACGGTTCTTGATTATTGTAGGTGGCTTAAAGCTTTTGGGAACCGTTTGAGGAATTGAATGGTTTGTAGCACATAAGAGCGTGTGCAGTAAGAAGTTCCAGTGACCGTCCACATCGAGTTGGGGGTGAACATCCCAAACCACCTGTTGTAGATAGTCGTGTAGAGCTGGCACATTCAGCCGTTTAAAATTTCAACGCAAATTATTGTTGGGATACCTTAGCTTAGTTTTGTTGACAAAACTGAAGGCTATGACGGCATGATCGCTCTTTCCCAGAGGAGCCAAGATTGAGAGGTTGTCAACTAGGAATTCTTCGTTTGTGAATACACAGTCTAACCGCGATGGTGTCTGACTGTTTCTCCAACGAGTTGCCGACCTCACATTTTCATATAAGCCCAAGTCATCGATGAGGTTGAAGAACCGAGCTTCAATTGAGTTGTCGCCTCCAGTATACGTGTGTTCCACGAAGTTGACTCTAGGAAGATTAAAGTCCCCTAGAATCAGGATATGTGTGAAACCGAGACGGGTAGAGCGGGATAGTCCATCCAGCATACGACTATCGTACTCGATGTCAGCAGTTGGCTTCCTGTAAATGACACCGACTAGACACCTCGAAGTGCTAGACAATCTTACAGAGCACCATATGGATTCCTCAAGATTGTTAAACTCGAGGTTGTGAACTCGGTGCACCTCCAAGCAAGAGCTTATATATATGGCTACTCCGCCCCCAAGGTCATGGAGTAGACGGGATTTCATCATTTCTCTACAAATATGGTGGTCCAGATATTCCACTTCTTCTTTTCAAGCTGTTTACTCTCTCTATGGAAACCGGTTCTTACCCTTACTGTTGGAAAACTGCGTACATCATACCACGTTACAAATCTGGAGATAAGACTGACATTAACAATTACCAATTTCTAGGATTATGGAAAATATTATCACTGATGAACTTTCTAACTATTTACTTGCTGGAAAATTTATCAATGATACTCAACATGGATTTCTTAAAAATCGTTCTTGCATGACATGTCATTTTGACTTCTTTAATTTAGTTTATTCTCTACGTAGCCAAGGATATTTAGTCTTAGTGCTATATCTGGACATTTCTAAAGCTTTTGACATGGTTAGCCACCAACTTCTTATAGGTAAGCTCGCATCTTATGGGGTTTAAAATCCTTTGTTTGCTTGGCTTGATTCCTTTCTCAGCAATCGATACCAAATAGTTAAAATTAACTATTCATTGTCTAACGCTGTCCCTGTTAGAAGTGGAGTAATACAAGGTAGTGTCTTAGGTCCTTTGCTCTTTTTAGTGTTTGTCAATGATATTTGTGAAAGTTTTTGTGTCGGTAAGCCCCTTCTATATGCAGATGATCTTAAAGTAGTATATTCACTTCCTCCACACGACCTGAAAAATATGCAAAATTACATCAGCATGGAGCTTAACAAGGCAGCGTAGTGGTGCTTAAAATGGCAACTGGAGCTTACTACGGCTAAATGTGGATGGATATGCTTCGGTGATACATCACTCAACTTAGACATTACCATAAATGGTGAAGTGTTATCTAGGTTAGATACAGTAGTAGAATTAGGACTTAGATATTACCAAGACTTGTCGTTTACAGAACATATATTAAAACAGACCTCTATGTATCAACGTCTAATTGGTTACATAACTCGAAATCTTTACAACACTGAGTCACGTATTCTAATGTACAAAGTTTGTGCTCGACCTCTTCCAGAATATTGCACGTTTATTCTTAGCAGTGCGGCCATAAAGGATAAATTAAGGCTGGAATCAGTACAGAGACGATTTACACATTGTAATCTTGGAGCTGATTGTACCTTAACTTATAATTCTAGATGTAATAAACTTGGGCTAGACCCTTTATGGAGGAGGAGACTCAAACTAAATCTTATCTTTTTCTTCAAACTACTTCATAAACTATCGTTTACATCCGATCACACTATTCAATATGCAGAAACCTCTCATTATAACATCTTATGAATGCTGATCTACTAAGGCCGACCATTCAAAGTTCAAAATTTGGCCACAACGTCTTGTGAGTTTCTCAATGTTTTATTTGTCTTATCCTGAAATCTTTTTTTTTCTACGATTTTATACCCTCTCATATCTTTTGATTTGCTATTAGTCCTTACTTCTTTAAACCATTAGTTATTTTCATAGCAGTGTGATATACTATGCGGACATCTAACCCATAAAACAAATTTTTTAACTATCTGATTTGCTTGTAACATGGACCTAGTAGAGACAGTGTATTCCAACTATAGGCTTTGATTAAAGCAGTATTCATACTTACCACAAACGTAAGAGAGCCTAACATCACAAAAGGAGGGAGGGTGGCGTTACTGACCAGCAAACATGAAGGTGGGGAGATAACTTGAATCCACCCATGTCTTTAGGGCAGAACATTTTGTTTAATTACGGCTCCTTATGGTTTAGTGGGATGCCACGAACTTATGGTATTGAAGCTGATCTATTCACGCAAAATACCTCTTTAAGTCGTGTTACGAACGTTGAATTGGTTTCACTTCCTACCCAGAAATCCTATTACAAGCAAACTAGACAATTCGCTAATATACGAAGCCTAATCAAGACC